GTCAAAATAACTTAAATAATGTAAAGTTACAAATTAACCCACCATGCCAAATTATCAAAACACTAAGGTCATAAAAAAAATAATAAATATTGAAACTAATATCAACCCTAAGCTCAAGAAAACAAAAGAAGTCCAAAAGACATGTCCAACAATTATAGTTATTTTTCGTCACCACCGTAGCCCCAACTAATCCTACAAAGGAAGCTTGGTTGCGCTTAAATAGAACGCACCTGAGATGCCAAGAGGCAAAACGGGTTAGTATATAAGTATACTGGAATGAGTATAAGATGTGACACCCACATGTCCACTAGACACAAACAAAAGTATATTTAATTCTTGTTACGGGACAAGACAAGTAGTTCCACCCGCACCGAGACGAAGGAGTAGTTTCCCGAGATACGGTGACATTTAGTTTCTTACTCGTACACAACTAAATATAAATTGAATATAAAAAAAAAATAAACAAAATGAAAAAAAAAATATGGTGGGTCAGCCCTGCATAAAAAGTTAGTAAGACTCACCATTCTGCAAAAATAAAGTTAGTATAATTTAATCATAAGTAAATTACTGAAGAAGTATAAAAACGCACCATTTCATACTTAAATCATTCGAATTAACCAAAATTCAAAGAACAAAAGTTGTAAGAATCAAATTTCCTGAAAGCCAAAGTGAACGAATATAGTAGCAACTGAACAGGTTGAGAGAAAAATTTGATAGAAGAACTTTGACGGAATTCGACCGAAAAATCTAAAGTTGAACACGAAAAGAAACTGTCCTAAGATGATTTTTTTTGAAAAAGTTCAAAACATGAAAAGTGTTCAGAATAATGTTTTACTTTAATTTGTCCTAAATCAATAAAAATGAGCTCGTTTCGTGGGTTAAAACAACATCTAAAATCTGTATTGCTAAAATGAATAAAAACTATTGTAGTCAAGATCATCTGATTACAAGTTCTAATCGATCTTTTTAATATCAAGTTAATATACAAAAGTTGTCTAGAATTATGTATACATGCTTTTACCCAAATTTCGTAATTTATCAAGGTTGTTTACTATTTTTCAACATATACAAATTAATGCAATTCACACTATACCAATAAACTCATAATTAAATCTTTGTACCTCAACTCTACCACTTTAGTCCTTCACTTCTGGCTTACACATATATCCCATGTGCCTCCCATATACCTAACTCCGCTCCAAAGCCAAACTTGCACAGGGATATCGTTTCGAGTTAGACCCACGCTCCCCGAATAGTTAGCATATACGTACGCGTGTAAATCAAAACACTCGTCTACTCCTGAGAATGAGACAACAATATATATATATATACACAATCCCTCATCTACTCATGAGAATAAATATAACAATGCCAAGCCTAAGGCATTCAAATAAATCTCATAATCCTCACATTTTTTTTATACACTTTTTTTCGCCAACACTCAAATAAAACAATTCATGGAGTTATGGTGGAGTATTCGGAATTTATCTATGCACTACAGGAAATATAGGTTTAGGTGGCGTTTTTTTAACGGCGTTTTATAAAACGTCACTATTTTTAATATTTAATGGCGTTTTATAAACGTCTTATTTTTCTTTAATTAAAACGGTGCCGTTTTACGAATAGGAGGCGTTAATAAACGTCTTCAAATGCGTGTCATCTCACACGCTTCCTTTTCAAATATGAGAATCTCAACTCTCAAATTGAACCGATGCACTCACAAATACTCTCTCTCTCTCTCTGTCTGTTGTCTTCAAATGCGTGTTATCTCACAGAGATTCAGTTGCTTATCAATGGAATCCTCAGAAATTGAAGTGATTCATCAGAGCGATTTCGAAGTTCATCTCAGCGATTTAGATCAGTCTCAGCGATTCAGATCTCGAAATCGAAGTTCATATCTCGAAATTTTAAAATTCTGAGTTCATGTCGCTTCGATTTCATATTGCTATTCAAATCTGAGTTCATATCACTTGGATTTCGATTTAGATTTAGATCTGAGTTCATATCACTTCGGTTTCGATTCAGATCGTGATTCAGATCTCAACGATTCGGATCGGTCTCAGTGATTCATATCTCAAAATCGAAATCGAAGGTCATCTCAGCGATTCAGATCGGTGAGCTCCATTCTCTCTCTCTTGTCTCCCTCCCTCTCCCTCTCTCTCTGTGCTGTCTCGTAGAGATTCCGTAATTATCGCAGAGATTCAGCTTGTTGATTCAGAGGTTCAGATCGATCTCAGCGATTCAGATCGGTGATTCATCTGAGCGATTTCGAAGTTCTCTCTCGAAATGGAAATCGAAGCTCATCTCAGCCATTCAGATCGGTGAGTTCCACACACTCTCTCTCTCTTTCTCTCTCTCTCTCTCTCTTAAGGTGTAATCGATCCTTCGATATTCTATGAATGGTTTTGATGTTTGATTTGAAATGATCCTGTCATATCCCTCATTTATCAACCTATATGTATTGACCCTTTCTCATCTATAAAAATCATACTAATGCCCATTCTAAAAATCAACCTATATTTATCAACCTATAGTTCTGCAGAAGATGATATAGTTCGTAGTTTGCGAACAAGCCCTATCAATCCTTCTAAGGATAGGACATCCATAGAAGATTTTGAAATAATAAAACCAATCAGCAGACGTGCATTTGGTCGAGTTTTCCTAGCAAGGAAAAGGGCAACTGGGGACTTATTTGCTATAAAGGTAATGCCATACTCCACGAAATGGATAGATTATTTGGAATATTAAATTTGAGTGATCAGTAGTTATTTATTTGTACCAAGTTAATTTGTTTGGAATATTCAAATGCTAAATATATCTATATATAAATGTTTATATATGTATGTATGTATGTATGTATATACATAGGTATATATGTATTGTTGATGCTAGGCACAACAGTGGATGAAGGAATTGTGCAAGGGGAAAGAGAAATTACTAGATTTTGGAGTGGCTGAAGTAAGATTATATAGATTTTGAATGTCAAAATGCTAATTACATTTTTTTATATTATAAAAAATAAAATTTCATGGAAGTAATGAGATTTTTTAAGAAGTTTGGGGGGTTCCTGCCTGCCCTTGGGTTGCCGCTAGCTAGGTGCACATGAGTACATACTTTATTTTGAGAGCCTAACAGTATAATGTTATTTGAGTTATTATGGACCAGTTTAGTTTACACACAAATTTTGAGTGTAGTAATAAAAAACATAAAAACATATGCACAGTTTAATTTATTGATTTTAAGAAAAATGGATACAATCCTCTGTGGTTTTACACCTATTACAATGGTGAACCTCTTATTTGATCTCCTGATATGCTCACAATTTAATTCCTATAGAAGCATGTTTTTTAATCAAACCACTTGATGGATGTCTTCAAGTCCTCGAATTAAGAACACAAAAGAGAAGGGTTTGATCAAGGGTTTAAATTTTTTTTATCTCAAACAAAGTTCAATCTTTGTCTTTCGAAAAGAAGAGATTAGACTAGCAAACTCTGCGAGTCTTGAGATGTAGAGTGTGGCTTCAGAGCATGTGGGAAAATTAACACATTGATGAAATGCTTGTTGATCTACCACAATAGTTTTGAAAAGAACTTTGTAACTGAGTCTTGAGGAATGCTTGAGAATTCATAGCCAAAGGTCCCTTCTCCATGAGTGAGAGGCTTTATTTATATGAGGCTCAAGTTGAGGGGTGATAAATTACAATTTAGCTTATGTGATAATTTTATATGAAGTGAGTGTGCATTATGTAAATTTTCTATGTTTTCTTTAGTAATTTAAACTTTGACTTCATCCAATTGATTGGAGGGAGATAAAAAGTTTCTTATTTGGTTCATCTCTTTTGAAATCAGCTTTGATGCAAAGAACATGCTGGAAAAGCTGCGAAACCGCCGGCTTGTGTTTGTTGGTGACTCTATTGGAAGAAACCAATGGGAGTCCCTTCTCTGCATGCTCTCCTCTGCAGCTCCTGATAAAACCTCGATATTTGAAGTGAATGGTAGCCCAATCACAAAGCACACTGGTTTTTTGGCATTCAAGTTCAGGGATTTCAACTGCACTGTTCAGTACTACAAAGCTCCATTTCTAGTGGTGCAAGGTCGGGCCCCGGCTAGAGCGCTCGAAAAGGTGAAGACTACTAAACTTCTAATCCAAGAACGGCAGCACAGATCTTGTTGTTGCTTTGTCTATACAGATATGGGATATGGTGCAAGCGATGCAGGATTTGTGAAATTGATAAATTACTGGTATCCTTTATAAATCTCTCACTAAAGGCTACTAGGATTTATGCAGGATTTATGAAGATTTACATGATGAAATATATGATCGTGAAGATGCCTCTATATGGGCCCAGTGAATATTCATTTGTTCTACCTCTTTGTCTGGTATGAGCTACTATGAGGAGATGACGCATTTATGGAAGGATTATCAAGTACATTATTTGCGAGCAATTTTGCAGTCTAGTATTTGTCATGGTATACATAGATTCATATGCTTGCTTAGGAAGTTATTAATTTTTCTAGAACTAGTACACACATGCACTCACACAAAAGAAAATAAATAAATAAAATAAAAAAGGAGGCCGTGGAAAGAAGAAAGATTTTTTTTAAAAGAAGTAAAAGTTACTGGCTAGACAAAAAAACCGAGTTTGGTGGCATTTTGTTGTCACATGGAACAACAGCCATTTTAGATGAAGGGATAATGCCTTCACAATGTTTTCCCCAAGAAGTAAGGTTGAGCAATTAAACTAGAATTTTATGTTTGTTATTTATTGAAATAAATGAAAAAACCAATTTGAACCTAGACAAAGAGTAATCTGATTATCACGTTGTTTGAGCTTGAGGGATCATTTATCAATTCACTTTTTGCAGGTGGTTCATGTTGTAAAATCAGATTCCAGACTTGCAAATAATGATCTACCGGTTGATATCCAAAGGTTGAGATGTCGTGCTCTGCATTATGCTCTCCACTTCTCTCCTTCTATTGACAATCTTGGGAAGGTTAGAACTTTTGTCTCTCCTGCATTCATCTGCCAAATAAATTTGGAATCTAGTTCCAGTTACAATTGAATTTGATCTTACCAAAATTCTGAATGCTCCTTAGAATTTTATTACAAATTTTGGGACTTCCTGTGTTGAATTTATAATGATTATAATCAATCAAACATTTGCCACCATGCATGGTTTTGGATCTATTACTCCATTTGAAATGGAATGACAAAATTTTTGAAATCTCATTAGCATTTAAAACCTTACGAGGTTTGTATAGAATGTTGCTCCGAGTATGATGTAGGTGGTAATTTACTTTTGAGAGGCCTCCTACGGGGATATTCCTGTTAAATTAGGTTCTGAGAATACATGACAGTGAGACCGCAGAAGCTGGTGGAGCGGCTGAGATCCCGTGGGGGAAGATACATTGCTCTTCATCTGAGATATGAGAAAGACATGTTATCTTCAACTAGCTGTACTCATGGTCTTACTGATGCAGAATCTGAAGAGCTAAGAATAATGAGGTAAATATCTTGTATATATATATATATATACATGCAAAATTTTAAAAATGATGATATACCTATGTACAGATGTACGTATGTGATTTCATACATTTGTACATGTCTAGGCTATATGTTGACAAGTGGCAAAACTTCCTGTCTCTGCATTGGATGTAATGTACCTCCACTAGAAGATGAAGAAGATAAATTCAACAGAACAGAGAAAATGAGGCTTTTGTACATTAACCCCCGAAGAGGTGGGAATATTTCTTCAAGCTCTCGGTTACCCTCCATCAACATTGATTTATATTGCTGCTGGGGATAGTTTGTGATGTTCTAGGCTAAATTCAATGATGACACCTACATTGCTATTTTTATTGATATGTGATATAAGTATTGCTGCCTGAATTCTGAAAAAATCCACTGAAGTAACATTTGTTTATCGATGTGATGTGGCAGGCTCGACGCATGTTGGCAAAACTAGATATTTACAGGAAGTTTACTAATGCTTTGGCAGTCGCTGTTATTGTGTCCGTAGGCTGGATATGCTATGAGGTAATTTTTCTTGTCTGGGAAATAAGGCTTAATTAATCTTTGAATATGTTAAGAAATGTCAAGTGTTTAACATGAACCACTATAGGACAGTGGAAAGCACAAAGGGTCTGTTAAAAACCATCCTCTGTGATGAAAAGGTCTCAATAACATAGCGTCTGGCTGAGACCAAACAAAATTATTAGCATTTGAACCATGTAGAATGCAAGAATGAGGGCCAAGATGAAAATCCCTGTGGAGAAAAAAATGGTTTAAAGGCCTGCTATTATCTGCTTTGTTAAAATTTGTTGCAATTGGCAGTCAATTGGCAGTCAATTTCTTTCATTTAAAGCAGATAATTGGCACTCTATAATGACCATTATCATTCATACAATGTCCATGTGTATCTGGCAATTATAATTCACCATTCTTCTACCATCATCGTTCATTTACAACCTGTTTGGACGGGAGAAGCAAGTGAAAATTACATGCGGCGGCTATATGTTATAAAAAATTAATTGTCAATTATTTTCTTGTCTCCACATTGAATATTTTCACATGTGGCAGCTGTACTTACTCGGGAGAAGCAAGTGAAGAGTTTGACAGGGATGATCATCATGATGGATATGAAGTTGCTACATGTAGAATTTACGTGAGAGGAGAGGGAAAAAGCCATTGGAGGGAATATGATGAAGCTTTTTTTATTTATTCTTGTTCTTTTACTTTTTTCCCCCTCTAATTCTTTTTATCTTGTTTAATTGGATTATAGTGCACTGTATGATTCCAAATGTATCATCTGTTGCACATAGTTTAGGCTCATCTTTGGATATAGTTGGAAGACAAGTGATATTTTTAATATTATAAACCATATTAGTGTGCTTTCTATGCCTTTTTAATTTTTGGGGGCAAATTACACTTTTTAACCATTTTGATTTTAATTGATGTATTTAAAGTCTGAACATGAATTGTTTTTATTCTTAGGTGTGCAATGCATTGTTTCTTATTTTTAATTTTGTTTTCAAGCTTAGTTTATTTATTATTTTAGTAAACATCAATTATTAGTTCTAAATAATTGTTTGACAGGTATTTTTTTTGTTCAACCGTATAAAATTAGCACAATTTAAAAATTAAAAAAGGCTATGGCGGCATTTAAAAAACGTCACTATATTCCATCCCAATGGTTGGATTTTTAAAAGGTATAAATGTTTATGACGGCGTTTTCAAAAACGTCGCTAAATGTCATAGTGACGTCATAGTACCGTTAGGTAGGACATTTGGCGACGTTTTTAAAAACGCCGCCTATACTAATATAACGACGTTTCTCAAACGCCATAAAGTTATAGCGACGGCCGCGTCATCGGCGTTTGGTACTAAACGTCACAAAAAGAATTAGCGAC